AGCTGGGAGCAAAGTCCAGAGCCTCCAGCTGCCATCGCCAGCCAGAGCAGCGGCAGCACCGCAGCGATCAGCAATTTCCTGGCCCTCAGCCTGGGCTGCTTCACTTAACAGCCCCCTGCCCAGGAGCAGCACCACGCTGGCCCTATGGGACGCCCCCCCTGTAGTCCCCAGGGGTGTCTCCAACTCTGCCATCCCTCTGTATGCCAGCACCAGCCCTTACCCAGGTCAGCTTGTCTTTGCACTTCACCGGGGCACTGCTGGCTCTGGGATTCCCAAGCATCTTCCTGTACATCTCCGTCTCCACCGTCTTCTGGTCCGCGTGCTTCTTCACCAGCTTTGAGAGCTCAGCATGGATGGTCTGGGGAGCAGAGTGCAGCACAGTGGTTATCAAACCCCGGGTGGAGGGGAGGGGACAGGGACAACAGTGCAGATAACAGCAGGCTGGGCCCCCCCAGTCCTCAGAACCTTCATCATCCCTCTGGAGCGATCCTGCCAAGCCCTCCTAAAAATGCAGTTCTGAGCTCTAGGTGCCCCATCTTTTTTGTCCACCAAAGCTTCTCCTTGCTGACAGCCTGTTTCCTATGGAAGTGACATGAAGGAACAGCTGCTGGCAGTGCAGAGAGGAGCCTGAAGCTGATGGCAGGCATCAGGAGAGGATTTTCTCCTTTAATCGAGGCGGAAAAGTTTCTGCCTCGGGGACAGACCAGCCTGAGCTCTCCCACATTTCCATCAGGAAAAAGGCTGGGCAAGCAGGCTTACACCAAGTATGCTCTGAAACCAGACTGTGGCAAAACCCGGACGTCCTGCTGCATCCTGCACCATGGGACCCGAGGGCCAACATCCCCAGCCTGCAGTGGCTGCAGAATGTGGTGGCAGCAGCACAGCAGTGCCACAGCCATGCTGTGCCCTCTGCTGGGGATGCTGCCCCAAAGCAGCAGTACAGCGAGCAGCCAGGGCACTGCCAAGCCATGGTACCAGCAGCAAACACACCCCAACAGCTCGCTGGGTTTGGTGTTTTGGTGCAGGACAAACAGCATCTCCCTAAGGGTGAATTTCTGAGGGGTTAGAAAGGGACGTGAAGGTCTGCACCAGCTAGGAGGTGCTGGCAGCCCCGGACAACCAGGTTTCCTCATCCAAGGGCAGGTGGAGCTGAGCATTTCTCGAGTCTGTTTTCACCAGCAGCAGCCATAGCTGTGACTCACCAATGTGTGTTTAACGCTGCTGTCTGGAGCAGCACTACCACATCCCTGCGAATCCCAGTAAGCAGCTGGAAAGGCCAGTAATTTGTTTGTGGTTTCACCAGTAACGTCACTGCTGGGCATTTTGATTTTTGCTCCTTTTCAATTAAAAGCTTCACTCCGGTGAGCTGATGAGCTGCAGCCCTGCCAGCAGCAATGACATGAAGGACAAGCAGGGAGAGCATCCCTCATCCCTGTAGCCCCAGCTCTGCTCCCCTACCTCCTCCATGCTGCCCAAGACTTTGAGATCCCACATGCCCTTCCCCAGGAGGGCTCTCAGAGCAAAGCTGCCTGGGTGCTCTGAAGGCCACTGAGCACCTGCAGTCCCCACGCTGCCCACGACCTTCAGGCACCAGGGAACACGAGGTGAACTGCGATGTTTTGGTGAAACGCCCACAGAGGCGGATAAAACTGAGGAGCCAATGCAGGAGCAAAGCCCCCACTGCAGGCAGCACCTCCCCTGCTGCTCCCAGCCCCGCTTTTGCTGGGGCCATTTCCTGGCACTGCTGAGGCTTTTGACTTCCCCGAGGCTTCAGTCCTGCAGCTGATCATTAACCGACAGGAAATTCCTGACCCACAGATTGCTCCGGCCTGGGCGCTGGACTGAGGTCTGGGCTTGCTGGGGCCACCCAATGAATCACACTGCAGGCTGCTGGGTGAGATGGCAACAACTTGCTCTGCCTCGCTTCTCGCAGCAATGGCACAAGCCAGCAGACCGTGCAGGCAGAGCTGCTGAAGCAGAGATGGGCTGGCAGAGAGCCCTGCTACCACAGGGGCCAAAGGGCATAAAGAGAGTCTCGCAACGTGGCGATAAGGAACCCACGAGCTCAGCCGTGTTCAGGTATTGCAGCACTGGGTGCTGGCACTTGGTACAACACCCCACGGCTGCCCCAGCCCTGCACACAGGAGGCTGGTGACAGCTACGGGGGGCACCGAGGCTTGTAGGAACACGGCCACAAGGACAGAGCCCTGAGGACACCCAGCCTACCTTGTTTGAAGGCTCCAGCTTCAAAGCCGCCTTTAGGATGGGGATGGCCTCTCTGTACTCGCCCTGCTGGGCCAGGACCTGGAAGGTGAGGTGGGGGTTGAGGGAGGTGACTGAGGTGGGGTCCCCACCCCTTCCCAGCCCTGCCACACAGCAGGGATGGCAGCACCTCACCTTGCCCTTTCGGAAAAGTGCCTTGATGTTCTCTGGCTGGTGCTCCAGAACAAGGTTACAGGACTTCAGGGCTGCCTCATAATGGTCCAGTTTAAGCTGAGAGGCTGCCAGATTGTTGAGACATTTCACCTTCACGTCCAGCAGCTCAGCCTCTTCATCTGGGGTGAAATCAACTGCAAAGACCCCAGAGGTGGGTTACAACAGGAAGGAAGCGCAGGCAGCCCTCACTCACAGCAGCAGCAGGTACCTTTTGAGCTGGAGCTGATGACTTTGAGAGCGATGTCGTAGGAATTGATGGCCAGCACATAATCTGCCTGCTGGTAGTAGAAGTTGCCTCGTTCCCTCTTGCGGTTGGCCAGGCCTATCTTCTCCTTCCCACTGAGCAGCTCCAGGTCTGGTGCATCCCGAGCCTCCAGCAGCTCCACCTCCAGTGTGAGTGCTGCGTTGGGTGGGATGTCAGGGCTCCTGCAGTGGCACAAAGCCATGCTCAGGCCTGGCTCTGCTACAAACCGCCAATCCCAGAGGTGACAGCAGAGCCACAGGGGCTCCCCAGCAGTACAGGCTGTAGTAGAGGGGACTGGGGATAGCTGTCATAGCCCTGTTTAGGCCTACCCTATTTCATTCCACACTCTCCATGCTCACCTGCCCTGTACACCATAGCAATACTTGGCATCTGACATAATCAAAGCTGTTTCTCCCATCTCCATAAGCTGTACGCAGAGGTCCAGAGCCTACAGGGAGCAACGTTGCAGAAGGTGAGCAAAGGGGCCAATCCTGCCTCCAACAAGGACATCACCAACCCTAAGTCTCCCCCCAAGGCGAAGTTGCACACATCAGGGCGGCTTCCTCCGAGCCCCACCTGCAATACGTCGCAGTCTCCCAGGGTAAAGCTGAGGCTGGGGTTCTCCTCCACCACACTGCCATCCTCCAGCATGGCCCTCAGACGGACAGTCACATCCTGGCCCTTGCGGGGCCGGCTCTCCACCCCCTGACCTGGTACGAGTGTCTTCTTCTTAAGCAAGCCGCTCCCTGGGCCAAGAGAAGCCGGAGGTGATCAGCACACAGTAGGGAACGGGAGAACCCCGCTCCCAACCCAACCTCAGCCTTCGTGGTGGTCAAAGCATCCTGCGAACGCCCTGCCGCCCTCCTGCCCTGCTCTCACCCAAGACGTCGAGCCACTCCTGGGGCTCCTCGGCTTCTTCCCCTGGGCCTCGCTCTGAGGACTGGGCGCCCTCCCGCAGCGGTCCCCGCGCCCGTCCCACGTCCTCCAGCGGCGGCAGCTCGCTCAGGTCGTCCTCGTCCTCCTCCAGAACCTCGAAATCCTCCGCGCCGTCCAGCTGAGAGGCGCCGACCGCGGCCGGTTCAGGGCTGGGCGGTTCGGTGCCGCCGCCTGCCCGGCTCGGGGAGCCGCCGCTCGTCTCCTCCCCGCTGGAAGCCATCGCGGCAGAGCAGGGAGAGCGGCGACCTGCGGGAGAGAGGAACAGTCGGCGCTACGGACACCGCGATGAGGCCGCCGGCACTCCCGGAGCGCACGGGGCTGTCCCGGCAGGGTTGTCGGGGCCGGACCGGGGAGGCCCGAGGCACCGGTTCCGGCCCCTGGAAGCGCCGCCCCGCGCGCCCCGCTCCACCACGTGCTTTTCTCCCGCGCGCGCGCCCGACGGGGGTCCCCACGTCACCGCCCCGTCACGCGCCGGGACTCCCCCTATAGCAACGGCCGCCGCGCGCCCCCCGCCGCTCCCACCTACCCGCGAACTCGAGGCCGCCGGCCCCGCCCCCGAGCTCCCATTGGACCGCTGCCTCCCGCCCCACCGACGCCATTGGGTGGCGCCGACGCTCCTCATCGACGCGTCGAGCGCGGCGCGCCGCGGACTTAAAGGGGCCGCCGCACCGCACCTGCTCCGCGGGCCCGGCACCCCCGCCGGGCCGGTGTCCCCGCCGCCCGTAGCTCCGGTAGCTCTCGGTGCCCCGCCGCCGAGGGCTGTGGGTGCAGGAGGCCCACAGAGGTTTCCCGCAGCGCTCAACCCCCACGCGGCCGGGCCGTCACCCGGGAAACCCCCGGCTCTGTGCTCCGGTACCGAGGCGGCCCCGCGGCTCCCGGTTTCCCCCTCGGCCCAATCTCCACCACTTCCGGCCCGGCTCCGTGACGCATGCGCGCGGTGACGCCACGGGGTCGCGCTCGACGTGACCCCGCACCCGGAAGCGAGGCGCGGCCGCCGGTGCCGCTCCCGTCATGTGAAGGGAGAGGGAAAGGAGCGGCGCCCGGTGCTGCCGCGGGAGGGGCGGGGCTACCGAGAGGAGCTCGAGCCCGCACCGTTATCGGGAAGCGGGCGGGGAGGGGGGGGGGGCTCCGTTACCGGGCACGGCGGGGGCCGGGGGTCCCGCGGGCAGCGGCGCGATGGAGCCCACGGCCTCGCGGGTGTTCTGCGGGCGGGTGCTGGGCATGGTGAACGCCGAGGACGTGAACGCCATCATCCAGGCTCAGAAGAACATGTGAGTCCCGGGGGAAGCGGGGTCCCGTGCGAGCGGCAGCCCTCGGTGCCCCCGTGTAACCGTGGGAACTGCCGCTCCCCTGCAGGCTGGATCGCTTCGAGAAGACGAACGAGATGCTGCTCAACTTCAACAACCTGTCGAGCCTCCGCATGCAGCAGATGAACGAGCGCTTCCTGCACCACACCAAGACGTTGGTGGAGATGAAGAAGGACCTCGACAGCATCTTCCGTCGGATCCGGTAGGTGGAGGTGGGAGGGGATGGACAGGGGGCCTCGGGGGACCTCGAAGGGATTTGTGTGGGTCCGTCTGTGAACCCGGCTCTCTCCTCCCGCAGGGCGCTGAAGGGGAAGCTGGCCAAGCAGTACCCGGAGGCTTTCAGCAGTGAGTGGTTCCATCGGTTCTCTTCCCCCATGAAGGTTCCTCCTCCTCCAAATGTGCCTTCAGTGCTGCCTTTGGGAGTCGGGGCCTTTGGGACTGCCAGCACGCAGTGCTAAGAATCCGGGGAGCTTTTTTCTTATATTGAATGCAGATGCAGGAAATCGCAATGCCACAAATGGCTGCTCATTTAAGTGGGATCCGTTTTTTGTTGATTACTGCTACAAGCAAAGGAGCAAATCCTTCTGCCAAAGCCCCCCCCATAGCCGGCCTCGCAGCGCATCGTGGTGTTGTGTGCAGCTGAGGCAGCTGTTAATCTCTGCGTCTTTCTTTCCAGACATTCACGAATCTCCTATTCTAGAAGATGACGATGACTTCGACCCGGTTCCAAAGAGCACGACAACCACCATTGCTACCTCTGAGCAGAGCACGGAGTCCTGTGACACGAGCCCTGACATCATCTCTCCCACCATGAGTCAGGATTTTGAGGATTTATCACAGGGCCAGTACGATTTACCGGCTGTGAACGGACAGAGTCTGACAGACGAAGACACTGCCAACGACCTGGACTAAGGCACGTGGCTCTGCCCCATCCCTGGGGCCCCCGAGAACTCTCTTATCTTGTATTTATATTTGTGTGTTCCTTTGGCCATTTATTTTTGGGAAGAGATGGCTGAGTGAAGAAGGGGGTGAAGGGTCCCTCCGACTGCCTCAAACCTGCTATTGTAGCGCAAATCCTGCAACTTAACATGGGCAAATGAGTAAAACGAGGATTTGAAAAGCCTCCTGTCCTTTCTTGTGTGCGTGTCCAGAAGAGTCAGAGGTGGATGGCGAGCTGGACACAAGCCAGCAGTGTTCCCTCACAGCTCAGGATATGGTATCCTGGGTATCCAAAGCAGCGTGGCCAGCAGGTCGGGGAGGGAATCTGTTCCTCTGCTCTGGTGAGACCTCACCTGGAATTCTGCGTCCAGATGTGGAGTCTTCAGTACGGGAGATGCATGGAAACGCATCCAGAGGAGTGCCACAATGGTGGTCTGAGGGATGGAACAGCTTCCCTGCAAGCACAGGCTGAGAGCAGCCTTCACCTACCTAATGGGGCTGTAGGAAAGAACGGGGGTCTCTTCAGCAGGGTCTGGTGTGGCAGGAAAAGGGGAAAGGCTCAGCGTCCCTCGCTGTCCCAACCTCGGCTGTGCCCCCCTCCCCCCCCAGCATCTCAGGACCGTCCCGGCAGCTGCGGATGCAGCTGCCGGGACGGTCCTGAGATGCTGGGGGGGGAGGGGGGCACAGCCAGGGCCTGGCTTGCTGTTGCCTGCGGGAGATACGGCGGCTGGGACAGTTTGGAACGGAGGCAGCGGGACGCAGGGACGGAGAACCGAACCCAGACCGAACCACGCCGGTACCGAGCCCCGATCGGCTCCCCCACACCGCACCGAGGCGCTGCCCGGTCGCGCATTGCGGCTGCGCGGAAGTGGGAGGGCGGAACGGAAGTGACGTCACGAGGGGCGACTTCCGGTTCCGGTCGCTCTTTTCTCGGCGGCGAGGCGAGGCGGTGCGTGCGGATGGGCCGGGCTGCGTGTTGGGAACGGGGATTGGGGGCGAGCGGGGGGTGTTAAGGAGCGGGATTCGGTCCTGGGGCGGGTGGGGGAGGTCGGGGAGCCGCGATCCGGCGTTGGGACGGCGGTGGTGGGAGCGTCGGCCTGGAAGGTGGGAGCGTCGGCCTGGAGGGTGACGCGGCTGCTGGCCCCCCCCGCCCCCCCCTCAATCCCTTCCAGGCGGACCGGTGCCAAAATGCAGATCTTTGTGAAGACGCTGACGGGCAAAACCATCACCTTGGAGGTGGAACCCAATGACACCATCGAGAACGTCAAGGCTAAGATCCAGGACAAGGAAGGTGCGTTTAGCCAGGAGTCCCAGCGGCTGCTCCTGCCTCTCCCTCCTTCTTCCCCCCCTCACCTCTCATTTAACGGTTCTCCCCCGCAGGGATTCCCCCCGACCAGCAGCGCCTGATCTTCGCAGGGAAGCAGTTGGAGGATGGCCGCACACTCGCCGACTACAACATCCAGAAAGGTGCCGTTGCTGGGCCCAGTGTGGGCTTGCAGCTGGGTTCGGCTGCTTCTCGGCCCCCCCAGTGATGTTTATCTCTATTTCAGAGTCCACCCTGCATCTGGTGCTGCGTCTGCGCGGGGGCATCATTGAGCCCTCCCTGCGGCAGCTGGCCCAGAAGTACAACTGCGATAAGATGATCTGCCGCAAGTACGGCCCTGGTTTGGGGGTGCCCATATCAGCCCATTTATACCCCCTTGTTTATACCCCAGCCATGCTCTCCAAGTGCTGCAATTCATCAGCGCCCCCCCAGGAGAGGCTTTAGGCCCCCCGGTGATGGGCTCTGTGCTCCCTTCCAGGTGCTATGCTCGCCTCCATCCCCGCGCTGTCAACTGCCGCAAGAAGAAGTGTGGCCACACCAACAACCTGCGCCCCAAGAAGAAGGTCAAATAGAGCTGCTCTGCACCGCACTGTGCTCTCCTAATAAAGCATCTGTGTTCAAACCCTGTCCTGTCCTTTGTACCCAAACGGGGTGCTTTTCCATAAACACGAGGCCGCGGCAGGGAGCGCGCCGGAACTGCGCTCTGTCCTGGTGCTCGGGGTGGGACTGAAGGCTCCTGCGGGGGAGAAGGGGGGGGGGGGAACCGAGGCGCTGCCCGGCGATGCCTGCAGGTGGCGGCGGTGCCGCGTTGCGCCGTGCTCCGCCCCCGCCGGGCCTGCGCGTTCCGCTCCGCTCCGGGAGCGGCCCCGGCCATGGTGAGCGGGGCGGGGGTGCCGATAGCCGCCCGGTTTCACGGGACTGGGGGTCCCGACGTACCGGAGCCGGGCTGTGCACGCGTGACCGGGCGCTCCGGTAGCGGCACGGCGGAGGTCGGGCGCTCCGTGCGCGGTTCCGGCCCGGCAGAACCGAACACGCGGGGTGGGAGCGGTGCGGGCAGCAGCGCTGTGCCGGTGCCCCACGGCCCTCTCTGTCCACGCAGACCGACGAGGCGCTGCGGGCGCTGCTTCAGCGCTTCTACGCTCTGCAGGGGGAGCGCGTGGAGACGTACCGGCTGTTCGAGGAGTGAGTACCGGGACGGGACCCCTCGGGGATGGATTCCCCCATCCCTCCTCTACACATCCGTACGGAACGGGGCACAGAAGGGCAACGGGAAACCAAACGATCACCCCGGTGTGAGCACCGGGAACGGCACTGCGTGGCCACGGTGACATTTTTTTGCTGCCTTGCTTCTGCCTTCATTCCCCAGAGGTCACCGCGCATACCTGAGCAGCGCCCCGCACTACGACTTCCCTCGCTACCGGCAGTTGGTGCACGAGGTGACGGCGGCCTTCAGCGGCATCTCCCGCGAGGTGCTGCAGCTCCAGGGCCGCCTGCGGGGTGAACTCGGCCGCCCCGACCTGGCCCAGCACCTCACCCGCCTCCAGGAGCGCGAGCAGGAAAAGCTGCAGCTGGTGAGCGCCGGGCACGGGGGGTGGGAGGGGGGTGGGAGGGGTCCCGCTGCCACCTGAACGGGGTGGGCTCAGCCCCCGTGCGTCCCCCTGCAGACAGCACAGCTCCAGCTGGCCCGGCAGCGGGTGCAGGATGAGCCCGGCGTGGAAACCCATCAGCAGGAGGTGCGGGAGCTCAAGCACAGGTCGGTGGGCACCCCCTGCTCCCCTCCTTTTGGGGCTGGGATCCCCCTCCCCACCCTCCCTTCCCTCCAGCGGGGCCGGAGGGGGCCCAGATGGCGCCTTCAAAAGAGCTCTTGTTTGGAGCCCTCCGGATTGTTTGGCGATGCCGCGCGGCCGCGCTCCCATCAGCCTCCCTGGGCTGAGTGTTTCATAAACAGCGCGGGGAGCGCGAGGCGGCCCGGATAATACGCTCCATATGGGCTTTATTTATAGTTTCCATCCGCTCTTGTAGGCTAATTAAAACCATCGAGGCAATCAGCGAAATTCTCCAAGACCTCAAGTACGATTCGGAAGAAGCCGAGTGATGGGCGTCCCCGTGGGAATGGCTGAAGGGGCCGTACAGCAGAGCGCTGCGGGGCCCCCTGCCCCACTCCCACCCCTGGCGAGGTGGGCACCTGACCCCCCAGCCCGGCCCCATCGCTCAGCAGGGGAGCCCCCCCACATCCTGAGCATCCCTCTGCAGGTGGGTGCACGCGGGGCTGGAGCTGTGCCCACTTTCTGCTGAGCGCAGCGGGGCTTGGAACCAGGGGACCCTTTTCTCTGAGCCCCCTGGGTGTCCCAAGGGGACAAACACTGCCATCGCTGCCCTGGGGACATCCTCTGCCCTGCAGACACCCGGGGCTGGCGCTGAGGATGGAGACAACACCCAGCCCACACCTTTTGTGGTCACCTTCAATAAAAACATCCCCTGAGCCGTGTGGTCCATAGGGTTTGTACCCTCCCTTATCACCACCCATGTCCGTGTCCCCAGATCGGTCCCCCGAGGAGCCCAGGCATGTGGTGACATGGATGTGGCCCCGTCCCAGAGCTTGGCTGCCCGCTGCGTCCCCATCCCCGCGCGCTGCTGCTGCTCCACTGACGCAGGCCCCGGTGGGGTTTAACGAGGTTTATTGGCATTAAGCTTAAATCTGTTCCTAATTGACTGAAATGTAACCAAAATAAGGCTGGTTTGAATCAAAATCAGAGCAAGCACTGGGCAAACCCCAGCAGCCTCAAACCAGCCCCACGCAGCTCTCTGGGGACAGAACCCCCGCGCACTCACACGCGGCCCCATGGGCACCCGTGGCCCCTCCAAAACGCCCAAACTGCATCCTTGGGGGGAGGGCTGCACCCTCCAGGTTCGGGGGCCACGGGGAGCCTCCACCCCCCCCCCCCTTCACCCCAATTGCTGCTCCAGGTCGTGGTTAAGGAACAAAGGCTCCAGGTGAGGCTGGGGGGTCCCTTCGCTGCCATGGGGACTGTGCTCCTGGGGGGCGCGTGGCACCGCCACCTCCCCCAGGGGGCTGCCAAGGCCAGCCCCAGCCTCCCCCCCGGGCAAAACCCCCCTGCAGCGGGTTGCAGAGCCGTGCCGAGCTCCGGCCACTGCTGAGCCCCCCCCCAGCGCGCTGTGGTGGCAGGGACGGGGCGGGCGGCCCCGGGGGGGCTTTGGGCACCCGGTGCGGTGCTGCCGGCGCTCAGCCCTGGGGGGGCTACAACTTATCGCCGGGTAGAACCTGCAGAGAGAGCAGGGCCCTGCTTCGAGGCCACCCTCGGAGAGGGGGACACCAGGGGGGTCCGCAGCCCCGCAGCGGGGAGAAAGAAGTGTGAAAGGCTCCTTACCTACCTGGTTGCGTGTTTTGTGGGATTTCTGCAGCCACACGCGCCACTGGTCGTACAGCTTGATGCTGAGGTTGGAGCAGCCGTAGGAGTGTTTCTTCACCCACCCAAAGAACTGCTTCAGCTCCCGCCGCAGCGTCGTGTTCTGCTCGCCTCCCTTGGGGTCGCAGCCCCCCGCCGTGCGCTCTGCGGGGACAGGGAGGGGACGGGGGCTCAGAGCGGCGCTGGCGGCCCATTCGCAGTGCAAGGAGCAGAGGGAGGAA